TATCCATGTGTTTGTGTGTGTATGTTTCTGTGTGTCAAGGTGTGTGTATCTATGTTTCAAAGTGTGTGTATCTATATTTGTATGTGCCAATGTGTGTCAAGGTGTGAATATCTGTGTTTATATGCGCCAGTGTGTGTGTGTGTATGTATCTGACACACAGACACACACACACACACTGGCACATAGTGGCACACAGATACACACATCTTGACTCATAAATACACACACACTTAGATACACACAGTGACATATACACACACTTGCACCCGCAGATACACACTGGCACATACACACACTGACACACTCAGATACACACACACAGGCACATACGAACACACTGATACACAATGGCACACACTTAGATACACACAGTGACACATACACAAACCTTGACACACAGATACACACACTGACACACTCAGACACACATACTCTTTGACAGACACACTTACACTCTCACTGACAAACACACACTCTTTGACAGACACACACACTCACTGACAAGAACACATACATTCTCACTGACAAACACATACACTCTCACACACTCACTGACAAGCACACATTCACTCTCACTGACAAACACACATATACTCTTTGACAGACTCTTTTTTTAACATTTTCATCCACCCAGCCCCCCCCCTACCTTTAGGAGTGTTGGCATGGAGTCCCTGTGGTCCAGTGGAGCTGCTGGACGGCTGGCATGTGGTCCCTGGGGTCCAGTGGGGCTGTTGAGCGGCTGGCATTCAGGCGGTGAGGGAGCAGTGATCTCCCTGCTCAGCTCCCTCACGAGCCTCATAGTGATGTCTGAGCCCGGGTGACGTCATATTCCGGCTCCAGCGTCACTGCTGCGCGCGCGAGGGAGCTGAGCAGGGAGATCACTGCTCACTTCTCCCTCGTCGCCCGTGGCCATTTTGTTTTTTAAACTTTTGGCAGAACCCCAATTGGGAAAGGTTACCCCTTATTGTCATTTATAGCCCCCTCCCCTCACTTATGGGTGGGGGCTGTGGGGGGGGGAGGACAATAGGTTTCCCCCATTGTCTGTTAGGGCACAATAGGTCCCCACTCTAGTTAATAGATGCTCCATCATGGGGCCTTTATGAGAAGGGAGGTATTTTTAAACAAAAAAAATTTAAACAGTGAGCAGCCACAGGATGCTTTACTAGATTACTAGACATGTCCCTACTCACGATATAGCGAGTAGGAGCAGATTAATTACTAATACTAAGTAATTTTTACTTCTTATTAGTAAAGTTGGCTGAAAGACCAATAATATATATATATATATATATATATATATATACACACACACCCATTCTACTTATATATTTAACTATTAACTACAGTAATACCCTGAAATTCGCAGGAGATACGTTCCAAGAACTCCCGCAAATTTTGAAAATTACTATCTGGGAGAGAAAATAACTAGTAGTGAGTCCATGATAAAGATTTCACCCTTTACCTCATTCGATGCACTTACCTGGTTCTAGGGAGCTCCTCTCTCTTTCCTCCTGTTCGGCTGTCTGCAAAGAGCGCTGGGAGGAAGCAACGTTATTGCGTGTGATCTCACTTCCTCGCAGCGGTCACAAAAAAATCTTCAGATTACATCTGCTGGACCCGAATAAAAAAATATGCAAATTTGTGAAGCCACAGAATGAGAAGCGCAAATTTACGGGGTATTACTGTACATAATTATTTGATTTTTATTAATTATAATTTGATGGATCTGCCTGACAACCCAGGCAGACAGTCCAGATAATTTACTTGGCAAGCCCTATATTTAACCCCGTAACTTTCCAAAACACCATAAAACCTTTACATGGGGAGTATTGTTATACTCGGGAGACTTATCACAACGATGATATCACCAGTAAAAGTGCAGTTATTGTTTAAAAAAATACAAATAATAAATTTGGCCAGCATTTGGACTAAGTGGCTACTACAAAAGACTGGAAATACCCCATTTTGAATACCCTGGGTTGTCTACATTTGAAAATTGTGTGCCATGATGAGGTTAATTCCCATTCCTGGGCTACCATATGGCCTCAAAAGGCAACATAGATCCAGCAAACCAATCTGGCAAACTGAATTGGGCAAGCCCTATATTGACCCTGTAACTTTCCAAAACAGCATAAAACCTGTACATGGGGGTATTGTTATACTGGGGAGACTTTGCTGAACACAAATATGCATGTTTAAAACAGTAAAACTTATCACGACGATGAAATCACCAGTAAAAGGGCAGTTTGTAAAAAAATGCAAAACACAAATATGAAGAGGGCGGGGCCTGACAGCAAAGATGGCCAGTCGCATTTACTGAGGGCTCCAGCACCGAGGAGCAAACCACGATATTCTTCACTAAAAGAAATTAGGCAAGCGACTCACCATGCCTGGAGAGCGACACAGGATCTACCTAGGAAAAGAATGATACTTGTCCGGGATCGAAACACCGCAAAACAGACTGAACCGGCCATGCGGCCTAATCCGGAGCGGGACCTGATGTGTGGGGCAGGCGGCCGATCTCCCAACAGGGGACGCGCTCACAAGCGACAGCCCAAAGTAGCCCTGCAGCCCCCCACCCATGGACCGGTGGGGGATATCCCAGTCCTCGATGGGGACGAATAACCCCACAATAGAGCCTGAAACCCAGCAGTTTCGGAGTGCCCCTGGGACTGCAGCTGGCAAAGCATCTAAGCAAACTAGGGAGAGCACGGAGAAACCAGTCGAGTGCTACACAGACCACGCTGACTACACAGCAAGGTTAGACGCAATCTTTTGGCATAGGATCGAAAGGCGCATGCAACAACATGACGAAAACAGTAATGGAGTCTGTCCACCAGAGCAACCATGAGGAGGACATAAAATGTCCGCCGCAAAGCATCCTCGGCGCCCACATCATCAAAGACGCTGCGCAACCCTGCACATCCTGCAGAGGTCTCAAGCAGCTGCCCGGAACCACAAACCTCCCTCTGGGCAGGGAGTCACATGGATCCAAAATCCGACCCACCGTCCACACACCCGGAGGGGCTTCAGGAGAGCGGAGCTCGGGAGAGCCCACGGTCCCGCCAGGAGTGGTATAGGGACCCAAGGACATAGGAAAGTGACCCCCGTGACAACCTGGGCTTGAGGATCCGAGCGGCCCCGGCGCCACCACACCAGCCTCCCAAGGTACTCACTGGAACATAAGCAACCGCAGGCCCATGAACTGGAAGACAACAGCCACGCGGAGATACCTCCGGCATGGTCTGCAAGCGGGGTTGGTTGCATGACACTGGGAGAAACAGCCGGCCTAGCGGGCAGAGCGCAGGGACAGTCGGTGCACTCTAATACCAAGATACCGGGAACACCTCACAGCAAGATATGTGCCCATATTTACATTATGCCGATAAGTGAAATATGTAAATAAATTGAAATGTGCCTATAGGTGATATTGGCTTATACTTGATACTCGCCTATAAATGATGTATACCTATAATTGACAAGCGCCTATAGCTAATGTGTACCCATAATTAATGTGTGCTCACGCTTATCGTAACACATACACTAATATTAACATAAACCTATGCTCCGAAGCGTGTGGTAATTTTTCAGACAGCAAGGGCTATACGTGCCATGAAAACAGGCAACATACGCAAGCCTTTGGCCAACCTAATTGTTCCGACATATTCCTGCTGACGAGCAGTATGCTGCCTAAGGCTTACATATACGGAAGTTGCTTAACGGAGTTTCTCTGGTGCCGAGCTGTACCTATTGCTTGTGCCTCCGCTATGCTCCACTACTGTACAGTCTAAATACATAAGCTTGCTTAAATACCTAATATACTGACTTAGCTGTTGCGAGACTAACTTACAAAACATAAATCCTTGTTATGGTTATATATGTGTCGAAAGTTAACTCAAGTAGCATAACCACTAAACTATGCTACCCCTGTTAAACTCTACCTACTGTGGTTCCGCTATTGTTTCATTCACAAGACAGTAATAAAAAATGTGCAAGTTATCTATATGCCACGCATATGTTTATAAATCTATGAAAATCGCGCTTGTGAGAGCTATTGTGGCTATACAAGCACTGTTGTAATCTCCTATGCACAAAAAAAAAATTAACTTTGGCCAGACTACTAAAAAAAGACTGGATATACCCCATTTTGAATACAGTGAATACAGTTCTTTTACAAATGGTATGCCATGATAGGATTAATTTTCATTTCTGGGCTTCTATACGGTCTCAAAGGCAACATAGGTCCAGCAAACAAATCTGGCAAAGTTCAATGTGCAAACATGGAAAAGGGGAAAGCCCTAAATTTGACCCTTGTAAGTTTGCAAAAACTGATAAAAATCTGGGGGTACTGTTGTACTCAGGAGATGTTGCTGAACACATATTGGGGTGTCATTGTCAGTAACAAATAACAGGAACTGAGAATCCATACCTAAAGTACAATGTGAGAAAAAAACAACACAAAAAATAACTACCAAAAGGTTTGACAAGGTGGTAGAATTAGTGCATAGAAAGTGTTAAAATACCACCATTTGAAATACCCTAGGGTGTCCACTTTTCAAAAATATATGGTTTGATGGGGCTAAATTACATTGGCCGGCTTCAAAAATGTCCCAAATAGGACATGGGTGCGTGATGACCAGCTATGAAATCTAGAATGCGCACCCTCCAAATAAGGTCTTTTAGCCACCAGAGAATCCGACACACCTATACCTGGGTGTACTCAGGAGATGTTGCTGAACACATATTGGGGTGTTCTTCGGCAATAACTCTTAAAGTTCTCAGTATATGTATTCTTAAATTGCTATGTGTGTCAAAAAAATCACCAATTATTATTTTTATTTTTTTTAAATTTGGCATAGATTGGTGGTAAAATGGTTGCATGAAGGGGCGTGGCCTGGCAGCCGAACGGAATGGCCGATTGAACTAGGAGCCCCTGATCACCCAATATAGTAAAGCACTTGCCATGAGCATTGCAGTAAACAGAGACCAAACAGCTCACTATGGCCTCCGGAACGAAACCGGCCAGGAAAAAGAAAAGAGACAGCAGGGACACTCACCTCTCCGTGGCAGACTTGTTTGCAGCAATGTGCATGATGCAGGCCTCACAAGATGGCCGCCACCTAAGCTTGCGCGGCTCCATCTCTCCCACATCTAATCTGGACAGCGACACACCGGACATCCCTGTGAGTGAAGGATCACACATCCTCACCAAGCTGATGGAGGTGAGGAACTATCTGGTGGCGAAATTTGCCGAAAGCTCGCAGGAGGTGAAGGCAGAAATTCAGCAACTGGGCAGGCACCCCTCCGACCTGGAGGAGAGGGTAGAGGAAGTTGTAGGAGTCCACAACAAAATGGTAGCCCACTCACAGGCCACAGCAGAGAGAGTCACTGACCTGGAGTGTAGAGGACCTGGATAACAGATCCAGATGGAACAATCTCAGAGTGAGGAGACTGCCTGAACCACGCAATGAAGGCTTTCTAATGAAAAAAAACATAGGCCACTACTTCAGGCACTTGCTGCCAGAAACAACTGATAGTAATTGGGTCATCGACCGTGCACACAGGGCACTTGGCACCCGCCATGCAGAGGGAACTACACCACGAGACGTAAACATCTGGTTCCATTATTACTCCTCCAAAGAGGCTGTAATGAAATACAGCAGAGAGAATGACCTGAGCTACCAGGGCATGACACTACAAAGAAGGAGAGACTGGCGACCTGTTACAGAGCTCCTGCGGCAGCACAACGTTTGCAATACATGGGGACACCCCTTTAAACTTATAGCCTTCAAGGCCGGGAAGACGTACACACTTCAGCCGAGATCAGATCCGGGACTGTTTCTCACCAGCCTAGGAATCACCACAGGACCAGACTTTGCATTACCAGAGGCGCAGGGGCCTTACCTGACCACCCTCCCAAGAGACTGGTACAAAGGGACACACCTATACATGCCCAGGAGGAGCACAGGAGGGGAGCATGGGGGACCCTACTCTTAGGCCCCAGGGCATATGGCGCCTCGATTGGGTAACTACCACAGCTCAGTTGGGGAACCCTTCCCATCCACTTAGCTTAAACGTTGCAAACACTTGCCAGGGTAACCTTAGAATGGCCAGATTTAACGTATAAAAGGAAACATCACAAGACAGGCTGTGGACAAGAACACAGAAATCATGGAAACTATAAACAAGCCAAAGGTCAAGGAATATAGAGGTCAGAATAGTCAGGAGCCAAGCCAAATGTCTAGGAATATAGAGATCGGAATGACAGTAGGAAAGCCAAGGTGAAAATACACAAGAATCAATACCAGAAACGCGCTCTCGGATAACCAGAGTAGAAAACAAGACAGGGCACAGAAAAATGGACAAAAAAAGGTTTAAATAGCCTAAGGTGTTCCCTGATTAGCTGCAGGGAAGCATGTGATAGTGAACGTGTGTATGTTACATCACCCACACATTCCAAATGGTATGGCACTATAAGGGTTAATAACAAAACCCTTAAAAGGTTCTAACTTGCAGCAGCCGGCGTCTCTAATGATCACAGACCCGGCCGCTGTGTGAGGGGGAGGAGTTCCTGTCAGAGGCATCTCAGGAGGGGGTAAGTGATAGGTGGCATTATCACATGGGAATGCCGCCACGAGATGCGCCCGTCGAGTCCCAGTCCGCTCCCGGATGCCTGCAGACTGGGTAAGTATTCGGCGGGATTCCCCTTGATGTGTGTGATGCCGCCGCAACAATGAACGCACAACGGGACTCATACCGGTCTCTGGCAGGAGCGGACCCGGTGGGTGGCGTGACAGCCACATACAAGATTACTGAGGGGGGCGGTGGGTGTACCAGCCAAATCGCACAAGGTGGGAGATTTCCGAAGGGGGACTGTGGCAAAACCGACCTCGCCACTGGGTATTGGAGAAGACTGACTGCCAGCCTCCTGCCATGTGACTATGGCCCCTGGGATGTATTGCCCTTTAAAGACATGGTTTTGGCATAATGGATTTGTGTTGTGCTGCTGCTGGCCCTTTAAGAACCATCTGGGGACATACTGTGGAGTTACTGGGTGGCCACCATTTCATGTATCAGAGGCACATGGTGAGAACAACGGATGAAGCACCTGGTGAGAACAATGGATGGCGGCCATTTTAACTCACAGACACTGTTTGGATGTTGGTTGAACAATGTCAGGATTTATTGCCATATTATATATATTTTTTATTATATTTTAAGATTATAATCAGTGATTAGGTGTTTAATTCTGGATTGGGAAAACGTATATCTTTATTTAGAGGCCAACAAAGAAGAGGCCTTGTTGCCCTTTGAATAAAATATTTGTTTTAAACTTTTTAGCATCCAGGCTGTGTGCTCTAGTTGAAATTCATTAGTTTTAATTTTTATAGACGAGATTTTTGCAGCAAGAGATGAAGGTTTCATTTTGTTACTCTGATTGACAATATATAATTCTTTTGCTAATTCGTTTAGTTTTTTTTATTCTAATATTTTTTAAATATGAAGCCATCTGTATGCAATGTCCTCTTAATACACTTTTAATAGTAATGATAAAAAGTATTAAATGTCCTAAATAGGAATTATATTCATAAATGCAAATATATATATATATATATGTACACAATCCATAACACCTAGGTTATGATCAAACATATAATCTATCATTGATGTGTGATCTGTTGGTAATCTAGGATATAGACACTAGACCACTCTGAATTTATTAGTCAAGTTGTGAGATCGAATAACAACACATAAGGCCGCTATGAAAATAATAATTAAATTTCCCAAAGGGGGATAGATTACACTAGACCACTGTGAAATAATGGTCAGATACTCAGATAAAGATAGATTAAACTACAAATTGCCTAAATCAATCAAGGTGTATACAAGGAAAAGAAAAGCAAAATAAATATATTAATTGGCTAAAAAAATATGATCATAATGAGGTTCTGTTCAAAAGTTTTCAGAAACCTTCATCCAATGGTGTTTGCAAAAATAAGTTTTGCAATTCACATGCGCTGTGTATATTTGAAACAGTATATATTGATCATCTGGATACAAAGTAACCGATCTATTGCATAGCCCAAATCTCCAAAATAGGCTAGATCAATAATGTGCCTTGTACTATTTAAGATTGTTAATATATGTTTGCCATGTACTGAATATTCACGGCCATATTGCAAATATATTAGTCGAGCCACTGGGTATCAAAGCTTGTATAAATAGTTACAAAACAAATGGTAATGGTTTACAGCTGTACAGATCACCACATCCGCGCATTGATAGTTTGTATGTGGTATACTGTGTATCCGATCCCTGCTTCTAGATGCTGTTAGCCAAATTGATCAGCAACAGTGAATAAATGTAAACCACTATTAGCTATTAATAAATGAATAATAACTTTCTCATGCGATCAAAAGAGAGGACAGACCATTAGGTCCTCGATAGATCTGCTGTGAATGTACTGTCTAAAGCATTAGTGGTGAAATAAGCTTGTGGTCTTGAGACCGTAATAGTGTCCGGTCTTAATAACGACATATGAAGAAAACCATGATGAAGGCTCAAGACCCACGAGTTCCCCTGACGCGCGCGTTTCGCCCACAGCTCATCAGAGGGGAACCGATGTGTGGGAGACGACTGAAATTAAATGATGGAACGTCAATTCTGATAGGGACGTTTGAAAAACGTCATCATTTGATTATCCAATTGGGACCTTACCATGACGTATTTATTGACTCAATTCATTCCAATTTGTGTGCGAAAAGGGGAATTTAACCTTTTTGATGTCATCCAAGTAAGTCAGCACTTCTATTATGTTACATATGCAAAAACTAAAAAATACTACATCTGATTCATTGGCACTAATTGTAAGGATAGTACTTCTAATAGTAATCAAACGAGACAAAAGGAAAAGAATAAAGTTAATCACCTAAATATGTAGATATTCACCATACATTTTAATATCATAACATAAAAAATAATATAAATAAACAAAACAATTAGTGAGGGCTCCCACACACACACCACACAAAAGCAGCAAAACACAAAATAGCAATATTAATAATAATATATTTGACCCATCTAATCAAATAACAGCAACATGATGATACATATTTTGTACAAGGACATATGTGTATTGGATGATTGTATTGAATAGTAATTATAATGAAATAAATAATAATACTAAAAACTAAAAATTGTAAAAATAAATAAAATTAGGGGATATCTCATAATGAAATAAAAAATAAAATATATACAAAAAAAAGAGCCTAAAAAGGGGAAATTAAGACTTTCCTCTCTTCTTTATTAAACAGGCTCATAATGGAGTGGATATAGGAATTATAAATACTTTTTAAAAATTCTCATTAAGGGAAATGAAAACCCTATTTGCCGTGGACATAGCATAGGTCCGGAAGGACTTGGGGGTCATCACAGTCCGACTGCAATCACTGGAAGACTCTAGTGACATTGTACAATGCCGGCAGGATGCTCAGCAGTCCGAAATGGACAAGCTCAAACAAGCAAATCTCTTCATGGAGGGCAGAATTGCAGCGCTTGAAGACTCTAAGCGACAGCACAACCTCAAGATTCGGAGCGTCTCTGAGGACGTCACAGAACCCGAAATCCCTCATTACATCCGCCGCCTGCTAAGCAGCGTACTATCACCATCTAAGGCGAAAGCAATCTCGATGGAAAACTATTTCAGGTTCCCAAAACCAGCTAGGGCCCCAGATGGGGTTCCCCGGGACTTGCTGATTTGCTTCCAATCGCTGCAAAGTAAGCAGCTGGTACAAGTAGCTGTCCGTTACACACCTTCGTACCACTTTGAAGGGGCCAACCTCACCTTCTTTAACAACCTGACTAGGTCCACCATGGTATGGCCGTAATCCTTACGTCCCATCACCCAGCACTTGAGAGATCACGAGGTGGCATACCGCTGGGGTCCCAGCCTCAAACTCACAGTGCTTCATGACGGGAGGAGAATTCAGCTACAGCAACAGATGGATGCAGGACTACCTACACCACAGACCCTGCAGACATCTACTCCCGATGCAAACCCCCAACCATCGACCCAGACGTGGAACGTGCGTAATGTCCGACCCTTCTACCTGAAAGCCAGACCTACAGCAGTGGAACCGAACCTGACCGGCACTTGAGATCCGTTTCTGGCACAGAGACATTCATTTCAACCAAATCTTGGACGCTCATATCCAGGGCCGGATTAAGAGCACACTGGGCCTGGTGCTGACAATTATGATGGGCCTAATTACGGAATCTTCTCGACCAAAAACACTAAAACAGTCATACCTCCCAAGCGTCGTGTATCTGATGGAGATGGTGCTGGAGGGAAACTCATAGGATGCAACTATAAGAAAACACATACTCTATGCTAATCTCTCTCTAATTTATACTTTCATCTTTCAAGTAATTCCATAACCCTTAACAGCAGTGTCCAGTGAAGTAGGAAGTCAATGGGCGGGGCAAAAGGGGGGGGCATTGGTGCGAATCACATGACCAGACCTGCCAAAAGGGAGAACATGCCCAAAAAGGGGGCATGTCTGTCCAAAGATTTGGAAGGACAGCCTGGCATGAATGCATGTCAGGCTGCCCGCCAATCATGCAGGCTGTCCAACTAAGGGCAGCACCCGGAGCTTGACATAAATGCGTCTAATGATGCACTCACTCCATGCTTTCTAAGGACTGTCCCCTAGCACTCGCTGGTCCACTTGTCTCCTTACCTTCTTACTAGCAGGCAGAAGTTCCTGGTATATAGTCTGAGACAGATAAAAGGTGTATGTAGTGAGTGTAGAATAATGGGGACATGCCACAGTGTTAGAGAGACCAACGTCTGCATTACCTAAACTAATTTAATTGTCAGCCAGTCCACACAAGTTTTGTACAGCACTGCCATTCAGTGTCTCCACCCTTGGCATGCAGACATTGAACTTTCCTCATAGAGATGCATTGATTCAATTTATCTTTATGAGGAGATGTTGATTGGCCAGGGCTATGACTTGTGCTGACTCTGCCCCTGATCTGCCTAGTTGACAGTCTCAGCCAATCCTATGGGGAAATTGTAATTTGCTCAGACCACCGCTTCTGATGATGTCAGCAGACAGTCAGTTCAGAGGCAGAGCCAGCAGCTGCAGACTTGAATACAAGTTATATTTTACTATACTTAGGGAGGCAAGAAGGGGCTAGGGTGGTGGTTTTAACATAATAGGGTCAGAAATACATGATTGTGTTCTTGACCCTATAGTGCTACTTTAAGCAAGAGTATGTGAAGAGTAGTTAGGGTTGCCACCTTTCTTGGAAAAAAATACCAGCCTTACTTATTTGTATAATTACAAATTAGTGACATCAGAGAAAATTCTGTAAAATCACCAACAAACTACTCACAGTTTGATTCTGCTGTATAGATGGATTGCTCCCAGTGTCTCAGTCTCGCAAGTCACCCAGTGTCTCAGTGTCCCTATGTATTACAGTGTCAGTGTCCCCATGTTGCCCAGTCCCCTAGTCTCCCAGTGTCTCAGTGTCCCCCCATGTCACTAGGATACTGAGGGGACACTGAGAGACATGGGGACACTGAAACCCGGGGACACAGAGACATGGGGACACTGAGAGACCTGGGGACACTGGGAGACATGGGGACACTGATACATTTAGGGAAACTGGGAAAAATGGGGACACAGACACTAGGGACACAGACACTGGGAGACATGGGGACATTGAAACATTTCGGGACACTAAGACACTAGGGACACAGACATGGGAACAGAGACACTGGGAGACTAGGGGACACTGGGGACACTGGCTGGGAGACAGACACTTGGGGACACTGGGAGACATGGGGACAGTTGTGGACACAGACATGGGGACACTGGGACATATAGGGACACTGGGAGACATGGGGACACTAGGCACACTGAGACACTAGGGACACAGACACTGGGAGGCATGGGGACACTGAAACATTTGGAGACACTAAGACACTAGGGACACAGAGACATGGGAACACAGACACTGGGAGACTAGGGGACACTGGGAGACTAGGGTCACTAGGGACACAGAGACATGGGAACACAGACACTGGGAGACTAGGGGACACTGGGAGACTAGGGGACACTGGGAGACTAGGGGACACTGGCTGACACAGGGAGACATGGGGACAGTTGTGGACATCGACATGGGGACACTGGGACATATAGGGACACTGGGACACATGGGGACACTGGGATACATGGGGACACTAGGCGCACTGAGAGACATGGGACACAGACACTGGGAGACTTGGGGACACTGAGAAACTAGCAACACTGGATGGGGGACATGGGAACACTGGGAGAAACAGCGTCCCCATGTGTCTCAGCATCCCCATGTGTCTCAGTGTCCCCAAGTGTCTCAGTGTTCCCAGGTCTCCCAGTGTCTGTGTCCCCATGTGTCCTAGTGTCTCAGTGTGTCCTAGTGTCTGTGTCCCCATGTGTCCCCTAGTGTCTCAGTGTCCCCATATGTTCCATAGTGTCTCAGTGTCCCCTAGTGTCTCAGTGTACAAATGTGTCCCCTAGTGTCTCAGTGTCCCCATGTGTCCCTGCTGCCTTTCCCCCCATCCCTCACTTAACTGAGCTGTAGAGCTGCTGTCTGGACTCTGTGTTGTGTTGCTGCTCCCCACGGATCAGTGAGTAGTGGAGAGAGGCAGGGATATGCATAGACATATAATACCTAGACACCGCATTGACCGCTACTTCCTATTGGCGCTGATGAGCCGCGGGGCCGCCATCTTGGATCGGTCACAGTGTGATCTGCAGTATAGACATATATAGAATATATATGTCTATGATCTGCAGAGCAAGGTCCTCCAAGTAAACATGGTTAGTCTTAAAATCCACCCGGAGGGTGTATAGATCCAGTAGCATGATGTTTAATCCTGGGATATTAAATAAATTTAACTGACATTTGCTGCTTTAAGACCTCTGTGGTTATTTACGTTATCGACTAAGTTTACTCAATACATTGAAATTATTTGAATTCCCAGATTGAAACTATGCATTGCATTTAGGTTTGCTAAAATTAAAAGTTTAGTGAACTAACCCCACAATCTATCATCTTAATATACATATTTTAAAGTGGGACTGGATCTTTGCCTGATTTGTAATGTATTTACTTTTCACCTATTTTTAACTAATATGGATTTTGGAACTGTGCAAAATAAAATGTAGATATCTACAACTCTTTATTATTGTGAGCTCTGTCTTTTGCACTTTGAAGTCAGCATGGAGATAGCATAAAAAGTATAGGAGAAATCAAACAATCTCATCACTATTTACTAAAGTGAGATTTGTCACTAAGTCAAAGTAAATTAAAAAAATTAGGGACAGAAGTCTTAATATATAGACATATAATACCACACCGGGTGACCAGCTCAAAATGGCGCCCGCATTTCATGGCCCCCCGAGGCCAATACGGCTGTGACGAGACCAATCTCGCCACTGTGCATTGGAGGAGCCTGGTTGCCCGCCTGCTGCCTTTAGACTATGGCCCCATGTTGAAACGCTTGATTTTCCCATGTGAAGACACGAAAGCCGGGTCATTCGGTGTTGGCCCTGTTTGAGCGGTGATACCCCAGATAGCTATGCCATGGAGCCCATTCGTATAATGAAAGACTATGGGAAAGACTTTGGCTCTATGGCAATTGAACTGTATGTGCGTGCTCTGAGCGCCATTCAGTAATAATGTGCGCTCAGATCTGAGCTATCTGGGGATATGTTGAATGTACCTGTTTTGTGCAATGGCTGCACAGTTATATGTTTTTATGTGTTTTATTGTCTTTTGCTGCCATGTGTTCAATGGAGTTTTGCCTCTGTCCTTGGAGATAATTAGATTACTTCCCAATTATCTCCAGGATAGAAGACTCTGTGGAACTGGTTTTGGGCAGAAAAGCCATGCTTCATTTGGTCACAAAGGACTACGATCTATCTTTTGAATCACTGGACCAATTTGGATGATTTTGACATATGTTTGTATTTGGAGTATGCTGATTCTGAAAATGTAATGTGAATGTGATGCATACTTTTCAAGTTATGAATAATGTGGAAAAATTGTATTTCTCTGCTTGTGATAATTACATTACCCATTGTTTAAGTATTGTATCACAGGCAGAGGGGAGGATTTTGTGTGGGAGTGTCTGAGTGTATTGTTTGTGTTTATTGGTTGTGTTCCAAAACCCTGTGGGTGGTACTAATGTGTATATAAGAACAATAAACCCACAGCTATGGCTGTTCACTGCTTGACCCTCAACACGGAGCTTTGTCTCGTTCTTGGGGGGATTTACTGTATGCTGTTAGAGACTGATTGCCAGGAGTGTAAGTCGCTTGGGTGCTTTTCCTGTTCAGCTGCTAGCAGCTATTCGGGAGGTTCCAGTTCGAGAGTTTGGAGTGCTACTTGGTATCCTGTTCGGGAGTTTGGGGTTCTGCATTAGCTGTGCCTGTGTCTCTGGAAGGGGAAGATCTACTAAACGGCGATTTAACCCTTTTTTGCCTGGGGGTGCCGTTACAACGGCATCTAGGTATTATATGTCTATGGGGATATGCTGTAACTTCCTATCCCTGCCTCTCTCCACACACAGTGACCCCTACTGGCCGGTACTGGTATTGCAGAGTAATCTCCACTTATTCTGAGAAAAATACCTGCATTTGTATTGCCGGTATTACTGCAATACTGGCACGGCCAGGCAGCCTCAAATACCGGCTGTGCCAGTAAAATACCAGTCAGGTGGCAAACCTAAGAGTAATTTGTGTGTAAAATGGGCCTATTCCATGGGCCTGGGCCTGGAGCTGCAGTTCCATCAACCCCTATGTTAATCCGGCCCTGCTCATATCACTAATGTACCGTGTCTCTAGTCTTTTACAATCTACTTTAATGTTATATGCTTTTTTTTACCAAATGTTCTTACATGCTTGTTCTCACCTGAGACTCAACCACCCCTTCTTCCCTCCCCCCCCTCTCCCATTGAAATCAGAATGTCTTAGAGTGCAGGCTACTCGTCTTAAAAGGTGCATTGTTAAACTGATAATATTTAGATGCATGACAGCCTCACTGCGCTGTATTTTATATTTAATTTGACAATTGTTGTTTTTCATAATTTTCTTTTGAATGCACA